GATTCCCTTTATCATCATTAAACAACACAGATAATAATATTTTCTTGTAATATCAAAATGAAATTATTAATACTTAAAAACTTTCCTGTGACATAGCCAAACCTAAATTAACCTTTGCACTAGCTAGAATTTCACCATTAATTGAGAATTCCTTTCACTTACGATTATATCATTAGTGTGTTTTTAGTATGTTCTCCAAACTGACTTACGAGTCGTACTGTTCAATATTAGTGGGAGATCAGCAAAGATTTCACAGCACATTTCAGACTTCATTCTTATTGTTTTTTCCTGTGTATTCATTCATCTCATATCAATACTTGTACACTTGTGAATGTGTTTAGTAAACCGTCTAAACATTTTACATTGAACGTATTTTCCTTTTATACTGCTGAAAAATCGATGTAGAATTATTAGTTATGATCCTACATTATTAGAAACAAGATTAATTTATATTTAGTTATTTAATAACATACCTTTCAGAGAGCTGACAGGAATTCTCTCTGTCTATTTATAACCTTAAAATTTCTAGTATTGATATAGTTAAATGTCTCAATTATTTCTGAATTATTAAACTGTAATGAAAATCATATCAGAATAGTACAATCAAATGAAAGTAATTCGAAGTATGCATATTAATAAAAGTACTCACTTAGATTGAAAGCCGGCAAATATTATTACTTATTTTACTTTTACTTCGTCGTTCTCGCTGGAACTACATAATACATGCATTTTTCTTGGTATTTCTTCTTCGTTAAACAATGCACTTCGACAGCTTATTTGTTTTTTACTCTAACAAGCATTTATTTATATTGTCTAGGTTATCTCTCCATGAAAAATTTATTACAATGGACGCCATGTTTAATTTAAGTATCTGTCATATGTCAAATTCGATTTCAAAGTGAAAAAAAAAAAAAAAAAAAAAACAAGCGCGACCGGCGGCAGGGGCTCTAACTAAACTCGGGTTACAGACGTTTGTTCCGAGATTACCGGCCATGGTGTTGCCATATTTGATCACGAATCAAATGTATGACGTCATCACACTAAAGGCGCTATTTTTGAATTGAATGCAAAATATTGCACAAACGAATCGAACGGGCAAAATAATAGAATTTGTAAATATTGCGCAACGATATTTGAAATTAATAAACTAGGTGTGATGGGCATTTTGTAATAATGGGCGTTTTGTATTTCGTATCATGATGATATACTTTTTTTAAATTATATATTTATAATTTTTTGTAATTTGAATTTCCATACGCTTTCAAATTTTTATTATTTTCTATATCATGTTTTGTAGTTTCTATCTTATAAATAATGCCAAAACGCGACCTGAAACATATAAAAGGCTGATTTAATTTATTCCATCGTAACTTACAATTAGTTTTTCTCTTTAATATTATATTTTGGTTGTTTAACAACTGTTTTATGTTGATGAACTCTGATTTCAGTAAGTTACATCTGCATAAGACATTATGAAGTTTTCATAATCATGTATAACTAAAATATTTTATGTTAATTAAGATATGATATCTTAGAAGATATTATTCTTGGAATTACTTACTGATATCGCCGTTTCTTCATAATTAATTAATTAGATAATTAGAAATATATTTTGCTATTTTCTATGGATTTCTATGTTTTCTATGGAGATAGAAACAAACATCTTTTTTAGACCTATAATAATTGCATGTTTGTAAAATATAATTAATATATGACATAAATTGTACATGACAAATTAATATATGACATAATCGTAATAATCGAATTGATTAATTTTTAGTGAAAGATATAACATTATATTCGAAATTAGGAGTTGGAAATGTCATCTAACTAGTTAAATCTTATTTTTTTTGAATATGTCGATTATCATTATATTACGCCCTAGTCAAAATAGCTACGTAAAATTTAAAAAATCTAATTATTTTGTCCGTTTAATTCTTGAGCAATATTCTGCATTCAATTTATAAATAGCGCCATTTGTGTGCAGAGGTCATGCATTGGATTTATGGCCAAATATGGCAATACCTAAATAAAGACAATAATTATCAAAAATAATGCAAGAACAGTTACAGGTCAATGTGAAATGTTGTCTGTCGTGGGATTTATCGAGTGCTATTTTGTCGAGTCTATGGTCGCCGCGTGTGTTTTTGTTGTGTGTGATTTTAACCAAATTATTTGGAAATAAAGTGGTGAGTTCTTGATCTAATTGTTAAAATCCTGTTATACGTGAATCACGCTGTAAGATGATCGAATTTGACGTACAAATTAGACTAATTTGTAGTCTATGGAACCGCTCTAAAAGAAATTCAGAGATTATCCAAATCACATCATTTGTAGCGCGTTACAAAAACACAATCAATATGATAAATAAATAATTGTTGTCATTGTATTAAAGAGTTCATATAAGAGTATGACAAAAAAATGAACAAAAACTATGTGTAAGTGGCATTGTGCATAAGACAAGTTGCAAAACTTCCCTATATGTGTAAATAATAAAGTTAATCAATATGAATTTAAACTCTCTGCAATTTAGATGAAATTTTCAACAGTTTTATTTCGTAAAGCAACGTTTTGCTTTCAATAGAAATTGTTCAAAGCGATTTCCAGTTGATACAAACTTATGATACTCATACAATGCACAAAAACGCACATGTATGTCCTGAAAGCCAATTTATCCAAACATTAGTGAATTTTCGAATCCAATATTTTACATATTTAAGTTTTATCTAAAACACAAAAAAATTTTTGACATATGATTACGAGGTCTTTGCCAAAAACTAATCAGCACGGTTCCCAACTGTTTATTTTCGAATAAGTTTTGAACTAACAAAATCGGTTCAGAATTTTTGGGTAAAACGTTGACGAAAATTTTTACTTTTCTGCAAATTACAAAGGAAACAACAATATCGATATTCGTAAGATATCAATATGAATTTGCGTTGATTGCTTTTTAGTGAAAATGAGAATATCTAAATATCTGTATATCTAAATTTCGATTGTTATTGATTAGTTGGCAATGTTACATTAATAAGTTTATGCAACTTGTCTTAAGCATTATTGCCACTTACCCTAGTCACTCGTAGTTGAGGTGAGATTATTTCACTTTTACAAACGAGAATATTGTGACAGATAAATATAAGCTGAGTGCATGATTTTACTTTATTATGATGAAATGCTAAATGATTAATAGGTTATATGCATAAATTTTTGTACATGACATATTCATTATATTTTACTGTTGAAATTAGAACTTGCAATGACTATACCCATTACCATAAAAGTAAAGAACAAATTACGTTTAATTACTTATATATAAAATAAATAGGATCTATATATCATATTATCACATTTTAAAGTTTTTGTATGTCTACAGGTTTGGACAGATCTCATAAATGGCTGGGCTAATTTCGTCGAGACTTTTATTTGCTGTATCTGATGTAATTGGGCATAACTTAGAGACCTTATTTTATTCAGGTAATAACGTTGATTTTTCTTAAAATATTTATAGTATCGATTTTTTATTTTTTAATGTGAACTCGTTACTATAAATAAAAGAAAGTCGAATCTTTGCAAAGAAGTGAGAAAGAAAATCGTACATCAAACACTATAAAGCAATATTCCAAGAACTTCTACAGTCTTCTCTCGAGCATATACCAGATGAGGTTGGGCAGCTTCATCCTCAAATTTTAATCAATACTATTTTTAAAAATTAGAGAAACAAAAAAGCCGCTATTTTGTTAAACAAATGTAACTTCTCCCAAGTATATCCCATTGCGACATAATTCTAGATTAATCTTTTTCTCATGTCGAATTACTGGGAGGGTAGCAATCGTGCTCATGGTTACGTGTCAATTTTTTTGAGACCCTCCACTTTAGCAACAGCCAAGTTTTAAAATGTTTAAACATTTTTCCGTACTCTTGTAACATACATAAATTTGTAAAAAATGAATAGTAAAAGAAATTGTTAGCATTTTTTAAGATAATTTAACTCTAGTGGCGTATGGCATCGTGCATTAAGGCAAATTGCAGGAACTTTCCGTACCGTAACAAAATGTTCGAAGAATATTAAATGTTTTCAAATAGTTTATCATAAATTCTGTAATATAGTTTAATATTAATAAAAATTATATAAACTGAATTACACGGTTAAAATTGTTCACTTAAAGTATATAAGTGATTTTTAACACTTTAACTAGAATTAAAATTTAAATCTGAATTATTTTCGAAATCAAAAAAATAATTAAAAAAAATTGAAATATATTTTTTTTTAAATTTATTGTTTCATTAATACAAGCAGAAAGTTTTTTCAATTATCCAAATCGAATGGTTACTTCTCTCAAAAACTGTCATTTTTGTACATTTAGCTCAACATCTTCAAAACATCTGGACCTGTCATTGCCAAAAATTAATCACCGTTTCTCCCAATCAAACAAATTGAATGATTTTAGATCATTCAAATCGGATGCTCCGTTCTCTCAAAAACTCGATTTATATTTTTTGCACTCTTTGCCCTCTTTCTCCGCAACGGCTGGACCTACGTGTACCAAAAACTAACCAGCACATCTCACTATCAATAGGAATCGAATGTTTTGAAACCATTCTAATCGGTTGATCCCTGCGACTGAAAACGCGAACGCAAAAAATGCGGACACACAAAACACACACACAAATTTTCAGAAACCCTCAAAACATGGAGAAATGCAAAAATTTTCATTTTCGATTTTCGGCCGATTACTACAAGTACTCTACGGGAAGTTAAAAATTTTCACTAGAATACCCCTTTAACTCTTTATTACGCTGTACTTTCAAACGAAATTGCCGGTGCAGCTAGTTATAACTAAATAACATCGAAAATTTCGAGTAAAATATCTATTTTTTGACCACTTTTTGCTTATATATGCATAAATAATTTTAATAACAAAATTTGTAAGAATTTATATCTTTTTCTGTGTCTTGATAACCTTACATAAATTAATTGCTCGTATTTATTTTGAATATATAAAATGCTATTTTATCGCCATAGACATTTTGATTGTTACGGCGTTTTAAACGAAAACATCTCCTTAATTCCGTTTTGAACCATTTCGTTATTCATTGAATGGGAAATATAACGCTTATTACAAAACCGATGGGGTTTTTGTTTGTTTCGGTGGAATTACCTATAACGGACTGAATTTATTGAATTGGCTTGGTGATTTTATTTTTTATGGCAAATGTCAAACGGGGTGATAATGTTCGATTTCCAAAAAGAGGAAAACAAACAAAATTATATAGAAGTTACGATAATTGAAAAACCGCAAATCCCGTGATGTACAGCGATGATTGAATAACAAAATGATATAGGAAAATTGAGTTCGCAGGAAATTCGATCGTTAACAGACGCAATTTATTGAACCAAAATATACTAAATGAATTCAATGCACGTGAAAGAAAAATGTGAAAAAAAAAATTGATTAATTTGAAAAGCATGAAAAATCAATATGTAATTTAGGCCGCAAAAACATTAATTTAGAATATTCACTAAAAACTATAGTTACGTATTGAATCAATACGTAATACTTCAACCCAATTAACACGGTCTCAAAACATTGTTTATCTTGAAAAGACAATAAACAAATAGGGTAGACCGCAGCGCAAATATATAATTGGCACAAACTAATTATGTTACAACAAATAACATATATCTAACAAATGACTATT